AATTTCAAGCCAGGTGGGGCTGTAAAGAGACCCTGTCTCAAAAACACCAAAAGAAAAAGGAGGAGGAGGAGGAGGGGGAGGGGGAGGGGGAGGAGGAGGAGGAAGAGGAGGAAGAGGAGGAGGAGGAGGGAGTTGTTGTTCCAACATACTGTTTATTGCTTTTTCTCTTTTTCCTGGGAGATTTGAGAGTAGTACTGGACATGTTTAATTGAAGAGTTGACACACTGAAAGTCCACTTGTGTTTGAAATTGTTTCCTGGATTGGAAGAATGTGCATCTTTCAGCATCTTTTTAAATGTCTCTGATTGGTGTAGCTTCTTGTTTGTGGTCAATAAGTCCAAGAGAGACACCTGAATATATTTGCATTTTTACAACATGAAGCAAATGTGACTTGGGGTTCCCATCCCTTCGACAGTCACATTCATTCAAATATTACTGAGTACGTTGTAATGCACCAGCCAGTACTGGAACCTGGGGATATAATCCTGAGTAAACACACACAGCTACTGTGCTCTGGAGAGCTGCATTAGCTGGTATAGCCGACTGTTTACAAGTGATATAAAAATCAAGGGTTGCAATGTTGGCGTTAACATCTGCGGGATCACTCACTCCATGGGAAGAACTGTGTTACATACTGTTAAATACGCGTGTTTTACCTTACCTCATTGTGTTCTCCCACGACCCCAAGAAGGTAAGTATTCACTCTGCCTTTCTATTCTAATAATTGGTAATATTGCAACCCAATTGAGGAGTTAAGAAAACCAGAGAAAGTCACAGTACTTGGGAGATCTAAGACTAATCCAAGCAGGCAGCAGTTTTGATCAACATACTGCTCATTCTCTAAGCTGTCTTGTCAGTTTGTTCAGTTAATAATTGAAATTCATTATTGAAATTTTGCTTTTTTTATATTTTTTTTAGAATGAGACTGTCATTCACATATATTTTACTTTATTCTTTATTAGTTTGTTTCTTGTCTTATTTTTTGTATTTCATTTATCATTTTTTCAATACATTTCTTTCAGATTCCAATTTTATTTCCCTCAGTTGACTGCACAAGACAACCAATCTTCCACGACTACTGACATTTTGGACTTTCTTTTAGTGTTATTATTCATCACCCTTGTGTGTTCAGAGCCTAAATTCTGCCTCATCTCCATAGTCTATCCACGACTGTACACATCAGCTATGTTCTCTAATACCTGACTCTCTAAGGAGCTCAACTGATACCCTCTAGCTTTAGTGCCTCATAATGACCCTCTATAGATATTCTTTATGTGAGTGAATAGGTTTCTTAGGTTTTACCAACAGCAATGTTTGCTTAGCCCAGTGTTCTTGGGTAGATATTAGGAAATTAATTAAAGGGTAGAAAATAAGAAAGTCACTAATGTCTTCAGCTGTGTTTGGAAAAACTTGCAGGTCTAACCCAACAATGCATATTTGTTAGACCTTGCAGCTGTTTGCATAGAATTAGTGCATTGACTACTTCATTGAGCCTTTTCTGCGGAGCTTTTTACATGTATTAATATTCCTGCACTATACGCCTCTTTCAATGTAGATAAAGTCTAACATTAATTAATGTTTTTTCTTACTATTTGTCTTTATTTCATTAATTTCCATAATACTTGACACTCTGAATATAAGCAGATTTCTTCAACTGCTCATTTTCTGCTCTCCTGTATCGTCATATTTTCCCTATACTTCTTTAGCCTTAAATTTCAAAGTGAGTTTGGCAGTGAACAGTAGGCATGCTTTTTATGTTTACTGCAATTATGAAATCTCAAATATCCCATTTCCTGGTAATTTTCCTCAAATAAGTTAAAGGATCTGTGTGTGTGTGTGTATTTGTGTGTATAAATTTATAAACAGGCCAATTCTATAAGAGATGAATCATAAGATCTGTTAATTATTCAAGGGATTTGCTAAGTAATTTTGTTACAATGGGAATATTTTCTTTCAGCAAATACTAGACTCACACTCTAGTGATTATTCAAACTACACACACACATACACACACACACACACACACACACACACAAAGACTGGTGACAGTTATCAAAACCTGAGTCACAAAGTAGTTGACTTTATTCCTGTACTCCTAAAGTAATTAAAATCTAGAATGTCAATACTCAACCCCCTGGAAGAGCATGGAAACTTGTAGAATAAGTATCACACAATAGGGATTGGTAGTGACTGTGGAAAACTGTCAAAAACATATTCCAATAATTTAACCATCTGTTCCCATTTCCATTTGTTTGTGTCTGGCCCCACAGTGCTTTGACATTTTGTAAATAATCTCATATTTTTAGTATCACAATGTCAGTCAATTGATTCAGATAATTTTTTAAGCATAAAAGATCTATCTATACAGAGTAAATTCAAATTGGTCTATGGGCTTAATGCAAGGTCTGCCCCATACTTTCTAATTATTCTCCCCCAACATCTGATTTTCCTGTTTTACAGAAATGATGATGGCAAATACACTTAGGTTTTAGGGCCTCTGTATTAACTTTCTTTACTCTAAAAAAAAATTGTTCTCACCTTTAATGTCCCTAAGATTTCCCTTTAACCTTGTTACTTATAATTATTTTATACATTGAATATTCTGTCTGCATATATGTAAATGCGCCACATGCATGTAATGACACCAGAAGTCAGAAGAGGCTGTCAGATCCCATGGAACTGGAGCTAGGGATGGTTTGTCAGCCACCATGTCGGTGCTGGGAACTGAACTTGGACCCTCTGCAAGAGCAGCCAATGCTTGTAAACACTGAATATCTTTTCAGCCCCTACTCTAACCTTTAGATCTCTCCTACAATACCATGTTATGATGATATGAGAAGTCAACAGAAGTAAATTAAAATTGTAATATTCCTTTCTGTTGGCATCTTCTTCATTTGCTTAAGTTTTCCAAAGATTTCTTCTCATTATTTGAAGACTGCTATGTAACTGGCTTGTGATTATATAGGCTGTTGTTAGCTGTATTGGAGCAAGCATTTTTCCTTTTATTTTACAGTTATAACCCTAGCATCTTCATGTCTGGCACATAGGGAGGCTAATGAGCAAATATGTATTGAATGAATGTCAGTAACAGGTAATAAATTAATGGCTTCATTACTGGCAAGTCACATGAAACAGAAACAGAAGGGGAGGGAGAGAGGGAGGGGGGAGAGAGGGAGGAGAGAGGGAGGGAGGGTGGGCGAACACACCAGAGCACTGATCTCCAATTCCACATTCTACTGTGGACATGGGATGTTATACTAGTATCACCTCGAAGAATCATCACACATGAGTCTAACTCATGCATGTATCTTAAAGTTGTATTTAAATATCTATCAGGTTAAAAATCTTGGTGTGCCTTGAACTCTGAATTAGACGTTTTTGGGACAACCACCTCTTACCCATTTTGATTTCAATTACAGCTGGGGTGGTGGAATTGTCCTGTATTTCTCTGCCTGAAGCCTTTCTCACATATCAAAAGCACGGAGAACTATGAGACACCAATCCTGTCCTTGGAGATAGTTCTCAGCCCATAGAGCATGACAGTCAGCAGATAAATGAGCCAGTCTCCTGCTATTTGGAGTCAAGTCTTATGCAGTCTTTCTTGCACTACCTTAGGGATCCCAAACAGGATGAACCTCAAATGCCCACCAAAGCAACTTTTCCTGGTTCTTGGGTTTGCCTTCCAAATACACTAATTGCTTGAAAGTTCTTACATCACACTCTGCTTTTGAGAGATTGCAAGCCATTAACATGCACAAAAAAATCAATAGAAAAGAGATACTTAGTGCTGGTCTTATCAGTAATTAGGAAGACATCAGGCAAGAAACACAGCTTGGTTCGATGATAGAAGCACTGACTGTGGATGTTTCTCTACATATTCATAAGCATGCATGTACTTACATAAATTCATACACACATAACAATACAGAATTGGGTCTAAAAACATTATCTAGGTCCTGCAACTGGATGAATTCATTCTTTCTACTATGAATTAGTTTGCTTATTTGCCAGATGTTAGGAAAGTTGTTTTGCCTCTCAGATTTGGTTTATACCTCTGTGCAATGAGGGGGGTAGAATAGAA